CCCCAACCTTGGGCCTCCAGATGTTCTTGGACTTCAACTCCCAGAAATCCTAGCCAGCAGAGGTTGGTGGTGAAGGCTTCTGGGAGTTGTAGACTAAGAACATCTGGAGGCCCAAGGTTGGGGGACACTGCTTTAAGACACATCCAGCCGTTCTCACTCAGAGCCTCTTGCTAGTTTCAATCTGGCTGCCATCCAGCCTGTTTTCACTGCTCACTGTTTCAAAGAAAACCAAGGAGCAGTGCAAGCTCTTTTCAATGAGGACCGCATGAATAATTCTTGAGCTGCAGTCCAAAGCCCTCGGTGTAGTACTTCTTCATTCTCTTTTATTAAAGGAAACATTCCGCAGCCAAAACAACAAGGATTTTCCCATTAAGCATGCCTGTCTTTCCTGCATATGGAACAGTGACACACCATGCCGGTTACAAGTACTGAGTCATGGTTTCAGAATTTAAAGTCTTTCCATAGATGTTTGAGTTTTGAAGCTGCAGTCCTATCCATCTTTTAATACTGCTATCACTAGGCAAAAACAATAGCAAATAGGCAAATCAGACTGAATACCTGGTTGCAAGAAGAACATCTGAATCTGTATAGTAGCTGTGTTTTGCGCTCAGTGGGATGATGTATTCATCCTTGCCCACTAGGGGGCACCATTTACCTTTTTAAAAAAAACCACATTTCTTGAGCCTGTTTTATACCAGTAAAAATAAAAACAGGAAAGATAAATAGTTTATTTACAACCTATGGAAATGAACTCTAAATAGAAGTTGCTCATTGTTTCCATCAAAGCAATGTTAGAATGTCTTACTTTCCTTTAAACGCCATATATAGATAGATACCTGTCACTCAGAACAAGGCTTCAGAAGAAACACAAATACTGTAGCTTGTTTCCCTCCACACATGGACACCCTGAAGTGTGAAATCTAGCTAGAATGTTAGATTTTTGAGAGACATGGATGGCACAATCTAAGTTGTGACCATCTTTTCCTCCACATGCTAATGTAGGGATAGGATATGTCTGTACACTAAGACTAACAGAATTTCTTCCGTAATATGTGTCATGTGCCATTAAGTGGGTTATTGTGACCCTAATGGAGCTTTTAGTATAACAGAGATATTTATAGAGTGTTTTTTACCAAATCCACCCCCATGACCTTCGGCTTCCATAGTCAAGTATGGATTCCAACCCAGATATCCTGAGTCTTTTCCTCTGTCCACCACACTGGATCTACCTTGAGATTATGGCCATAATCTACTGCAACTTTTGTCATATTTATAAGTATTTGAAATTGAAAAGAAGCATGTGAGAGAATAATGATTGAGTTCTTAAAGCAGAGTTAATGGGCCAGCAGGATACCTTAAGCTCAGGATATACCAATACGTCTGCTAAAATACAGAGCAGTCTTTTTAAGACTTTTAGTGTATCTAGTTTAACATCCGGTTGGTTGCTGCTTTTTTGGCTTACAGCTTGAGACGACATTCCGAAGCGAACAAGAAAAAGGGGCATTGAATAATATAGAGCCGTTTAGATGCATGGTCAAGTTTTCTAGTCCTCATCTTTTAGAAGCGCTGAAATCCCTAGCACCAGCTGGTAAGTATGCTAGCAGTCAGCATGTTTTTCAGTCACAAAGCCCTAAAATAAAGGTCATATAATAGGGGTGGGCAAAGGGAGCCTCCAGTGACCTACTCAGAAAGGTATAATAAGTACATAAAATAAAAGAATTAATAAAATAACTGCTGTTGGGAGAGGTAGTTTTAAATACGTGCACTCTCATCGGATTTGAGCAGTCACAACAGTCGCTTCTAGGGAAGAACACACTCATATAATAGGGGTGGGCAAAGGGAGCCTTGAGTGACCTACTCAGAAAGGTATAATAAGCACATAAAATAAAATAATAAATAAAATAACTGCTGTTGGGAGAGGCAGTTTAAAATGCGTGCATCTCATCGGATTTGAGCAGTCACAACAATCGCTTCTAGGGAAGAACACGCATTCCCTAGAAAAGCAGATTGGAGAGGTTAGCAGATGAACAGGCCCCCTTGATCCATGCACACACTTCTCTAGTTTTCTTCTCCATTTCACAGAAAGACAAGCCAATTTCCCCATCTCGCCTTTGAATAAACAGCTGTAAAAACAAATTTGCACACCCATATAACTCCATTGTGTACACTGAAATGCCTGCTCATCATTCATCGCAGAACTAGCAGATAAGGTCACGTCCTACCGGCTCTCCCTGCTTCTCTTTTCTCCCACAGAAGTCGCTCTGTCCTCTTTTTTTTCCTTACTGTTTTTGCTGCCTGACTCAAAAGCAGGGGACTGGGATTGTCCCACCTCTTTCCTTTCTACTGAAGAATGCTCTGGATTCATGTAGGACCCAGAAGCCGTTCTGGAGAATGGAGAGAAGAAGGGCAAAGCTTGTGATAAAAAGTAATATTCCAGAGGTGCAAACGGCTTTGGCAGACACCAGACTCATTTGTTCTTATTCCAAATGTTGTGGTGGTGCCACTTATTAGGATTGTTGTTGTTATTTTCCACTGTCAAGTCAATTTTGACTTACTGTGATGCTATTCAGGATTTTCTCGATATAAAGTACAATGAAGTGGTTTACCTAAAACCTCTGAGCTATTCAGCCAGCCCAAATAGGTTTACGGAGCATTAAAGATCTGTAGGGAAATCCTGTGGAGAAGTGATTCTAATTTTTTTTCCCCTAATTCTAGGATTGGCAGATGCTCCACTATCGCCATTACTGACCTGCATCACTCAGAAAGCCAGGAACTATTTTAAAATCAGGGAGAGAAAAGGATCACTTTCACAAAGCCATCTGAGCCAGTGACACTTTTTAAAAACTAAGTAGATGAGAGAGAAATGTTTCCCTGATCATTGAAGTATCTTATTCAATGAAATAGAGGTCACGCAGAGGACCTGCCTTTCCAAGCCTTCGACAACTCAAGCAATCAGAATGACATACGATGGAAACATATTGTCTTGACAAGCTATAATCTGCCGACTGGTGTGATCTGTTTGACAAAAGCTTGCTTATATGTCCCAACCCATGGCTGGATGAACTTTTCCTGAGCCTCAAACGTATCAGACACTTGTCTGTAGAAAGTTATAAAACTTTCCAGAGTAGTTCTTTACAGTGCACTGAGGGATATGGAAGAGTTGGGGGGGTATTGATTATTCTGGTGGGAGCGATCGGATCTGGCAGAGGTGCACCACTGGATTCAGGCAAGGGATGGCTAGAATAAATCTGGAACAGCCCTGACAAAGTCATAAAGGGATCCTCCCCCTTTTCGCTAGTCTCATAACAGGCTTGTAACCCATATTTCTGTCTCAGCTCTAAAGGAGGAGAGATCCTCACTTGTTTAGGAGGCTTGAAAATGACTGGCTTATTTTATACAACGGGTGAAGTAACATAACCTGGTTTTGAAATGGCTGCTTCTTGTGTATTGGTCTAAAATGAAACTATATGGAAATCCTTATAAAATCAGTTGGATTTCACTTCCAAGTCCATTCCCAGTGGGTCAGTCAGCAGTGATACAGCTGGTTGCAGGGAGGTGAAGAATTTCAATTTTCAACTGGACCAATGCTTTTAAGTTAAAATATACATTTTAACTTATTACGGCAGGACACGTGTGTTGAAAACTATTGGTTGTAGCTTATAGCAGCACCAATTGTTTTACGTAGACTTCAGTGCTCTTTTTAAACAGTATTGACTATGCTGAAAAAGGAAGTTGTTTTGACAGTTTGGTTTATCTGTGTAGCTGCATGTGTTAAGTATAAATAAAGGCTTTCTTTATAGACGTTTGTTCCATGTCATTATTATTATTATTATAACTCCTGTTGTTAGTCAGTCTTCCTCTTCTCCTTCCTCCAGGATGACCCTACGTGGTTCTCTTCCCATACGTTTTATCCTCACGAACAATTTTAAAAGCCCAGGGCAGGTTGTCTACAATGCACAGCACCCTCCAGCATATGGGGGGGGCAGCCAGAAGATGGTCACTGCATCGCCTTGGCCTGTAACCTTTGAGCGGTGTGATCTGTTTGACAAAAGCTTGCTTATCTGTCCCATGCCTTCTATGCCCCATGCCTCATTGTCCCTTAGGTAGAGGGGTCCCCTTGTGACCCTTTAGGTGCTGCCGAATTTGAACTCTCCACCCACATAATAAATCATGGGGCTTGTCATTCAGTCCCATCTGGAAGGACCCATTTTGCCCCCCTTGCTAGAGTTTGCCTTTGCTTTCTTCTGTTCACCCGGTCTGGAACATGAAGAATATTTTAAATAAATAAAGAATGGATGGGATGACCTGTTTTATCTAGCCTCCAAGCTGAAGTATTACAATTAACTTTGCCGTCCAGAGTTTGTAAAACTTACACAGAGTCCCCTGCAAGTGTGGCCAACAGCTCTTCCAGGGGGCTTCTAAAGGAACTTGAGGAGTTGTATTTCCCCTTACACGCACACAGACACACACACCCAAAAAAGGGCCATTTAGGAAGTCTTTCCTCCACATCACTCTCATAATGACTGCGTTTGAATGAGGGTTTGCGATGCATTTTTGATGATTTTTTTAAATACATGTTATATTCTTTTGTTTTTATCCATGTAAGCCGCCCCGAGTAGACATTATCTGGGGGGGGGGCGGGGTAAAAAAAATCTAATAAATAAATACATAAATGATCGCGTGTAACGCGAACCGTCCGGCGGTGC